CACTTGCCGAACCAGTCTTCGACAACCCACACCATTCACACGGCACGACTACCTTATCTTTGAGGTCTAGGCCCAGATATCCTGTCTCTCAGACACTATATCACTGGCCTACGGTGTATAATTGTGTAAACGGGGTCCAGAAGCGAGGGTTCCCTGACAGGCATAAACCATGGCACCAAGAGATCCGAGAGTCAAGGAGAGGGGAGCGAGCATTACCCAAGTCAGCCGACCAAGCCCGACGACACAGGACAGCATCAAGGTGAACATCACAGAGCAAGTCAGATCAAAGGTTGTGGCGGGCCGAACAGAAAAGCCAAAGCCAAAGGTACGCCGGCCACTCATCAGTCCACATGATTACAAGACTAGAAAGACTAACTCCACAAAAGCCCCAAGATGCTCGAACCCACGAAGCCAACCAGGAACGGGCCTACGTAGCGGCATCTCGTCGCTCGGACCGCAGTCTCGAGGCCCGTCTCCAGTCGGCCAGGTTGGCATCTGAAATCCACAAGAAGCGTACCGGTAAGGGCTTCAAGATCACCACTGAGGCTGTCCTGAATGATGCCATGTACGAAGAGGAAGAAGAACCCAGGACAGCCCGGCTACCGTATACCACCGGCAACTTTCAGAATTTCGCCCTGGAGCAGCACTACCAGAGGGTCGACGCCCAGTTTGCAGAGGCCTTCCCAGCTCTACTCCGACCGCCAGCGATGCCTCTTGCCCCACAGTACATGCCAATGCCTCAGCAGCGAACAATGTCGATGATGTCCGTAAACTCGGTTCCCTCTTACGGTCTCCCGCCAAACCATGGCATGCCACAGTTCCACGAGAGGACACAGTCGGCCCCGAATCTCTCCTTGGTATCAGCAAACTCAGCCAACCCAACAAGTTCTGGCATACCACATGGCTTTGGACAAAAGACACAGTCGCTCCCCGTTGTTCCGCCCATATCAACCAATTCACCGAGTCTATCCGTTTCCCATCGGTCTGCCGGTACTCACACAAGGAACTCGTCAATGTCCGAGTTCTCGACACCTCCGGCTCTTACGCCAAGCGTTGGCGATGGATCACCTTCCCTACCGGGACTTCTCACTCCGACCTTCGACCATGACAATTTTGACAACTCAAAGACAACACAGCCTCGCTACCGGCAGTCATCAATTACCTCAACCAGATCCGATACACCGCTTACTCCACAATCAGCGATGTCCGTAACGTCGACGACGCAGTCAGGCCATTCAGCCGCTCTCCCTAAAGCCTCGTCGGATAGCGTGAATCAGCTCGCCAGTGAGCCCCAGTTTTATCCCAACTATTTCGATGGTTCTTTTGAGCATTTCGACGACATGTATGACAGCCTGTCACAACCGCCTCTCGACCTTGACGAGTCACGCTCGTTCTATGCATCATTTGCACAACAGGACGAGAACGCGCCAATTTTTTACCAGACACTGGCAGAGAAGCCCAAGGAGCTTGACGCCGAGCTTGATCCATTGGTGAACAATGATCACGACACGTTTGTAGACTGGAATGGTGGCAACGTGTAAGGTCAAGTAGTCTTTTGAGCTGTGTTGGGAGGGAGGCTATTGCAGAGAATTGATAAGTGACGTGGCCAAAGTCACGGAGCAGAGCAGAAACATCATTAGTCACTCTGTGCTGGAGTTGTGTGGGTTATTTTATGCACCTATATCTGGTAAAGGCAAATCTGCGCCGGAATAAAGAAACCGTTTTTCACGGCCAAGGAAAATTACTTCCATCAGTGGGAAACAGGGAGTTATGACTGGGACGATGGGATGACGATATTGCTTTGTAATAATATAAGAGCGTGATCAAGAGCCTAATAGGTTTTGGGGACCGGATGAGAGGTCGGATTTGGCATCTTGAAATCATCTACTGGTAAACGATATACATTTTTCTGACGAGTTTTGTACTCATGATCTCGTGAACGTGGTGATTAACTCAAACCGCCATTCGGCATGTTAAAACCAAACAAATTAATGCAAAAGTGATTAAATACTGTATCCCAATACAAGTTTTGGTTGTTTTGTGTTGGCCTGAGATCTCATGAGATGTGACGTGAACGTTGAGTGATTATGCTGGTCGGAAAGGAAGTGAGTAATAGTGAAATCACACAAATCACAGCCGAGAATGCGTCACTTGGACAGTATCAGATGAAGATATGTATTCCTACGTTTCTAGGCAACGCTACAGTGTGCCTTCGAGACACTCGTCTCCTGCAAGTTAAGCGGTGATGACTTGCAGATGCCTTCTGGTAAACGGTCAAGACACTTGCTTGGCCTGACGGACGCATCGCCTACCTTCAACGTAGACTTCATAGAGAACTACGAACGCCAAAACAAAAAAGAAAAAGAGATATCAAATGGTCGAAAATGCGTTAATTCTTGGACAACGTGCATTCCTCTAGAACTAAATGCCTTACAGGGGAAGAAAGATGAATTTTTGGACTGGTGTGAACTTCTAGTGTAAGGTTGTGAAAGCATGAAGGCCATGTCTAGAGCTTGCTAGCCATGGTTTGGGAGATAACTACAAATAGGAGACGACAGAAAGAAGAGTAAGAGGGAAAAGAAAACAATGGAAAAAAGGAGGAGGAGAGAAGGGGAGGAAGACTGTTAAGCAAGGCTATTAGATCAGACATCTAATAGCTGGAACGAACTTGAAAGCAAGTATACCACAAGCCAACTATGATTGGCGGGTTAGAAACAATGACTGAGAAGACTAAGGAGTTAGTGATGACAGTAACATTCAGCAAGATAAACTGGAGAAGCTGGAGGACGACTTACGACTTTCTACTCACTCTCCCTCCTTGCTAGTGGTGTCGCTTTTGCCGCTTGGCCAACAACTGCGCATACCCAGCATCCAGCGTCGCCTTCCTCTGCCGATCTTTCTCTGCCTGGGTCGCTGGTTGCGGAAAGAAAGGAAAGCTACGGTCTTCGAGTCTGGGTCCAGATTCGAATTCCGATCCGGGTCCGATGTTGAACCCGGGCGGCGGTCTAATTGTAGACCCCATCGTTGCGGTGGTTCCGGGAGTAGGGGCGGCTCGAGGTATGCTTCCGGCAGCGGTCATTAAGTCCTGGGGATAACTCCGTTTCTTCGAGAGAAAATCTGAATCCATCGGCCACGGGTCTGGGTGTGGGGTAACCGTACGCATGTACAAATCCCTTGCGTCGCTTGTTCCAAAGGCGTAGGCACCGGTACCAGTACCAGAGATCTTCGCGTTTCCGAGAGGCTCCTGATACTGGTGGGCGGTCATGTTGCCGCTGCGAACGAACCGAGGTGGCTCAGCGGTATCCGAAGCAAACGCATTGCGCTTAGACGAGACCGAAGGAGGGGTGTTGGAGTTGAAGGGCTGTGAGCGTAAGCCGTGAGACTGGGTGTGAGAGTTGCCGTTGCCGTCACTGCTGCTTTTGTTGGTTGTGAGACCAAACTGAGATGCTTGTGAACGGAGGATATGGGGTGGTGGAGGAGGAGGGAGACCATCCGGGTACTGGCCGTATGCCTGATGGCGAGAAGCAGAGGAATCGAAGTATTGGGGCTGTTGAGAGAATCGAGAAGCGTCCCTGGAATAGTTACCGGGTAGCACAAAATGAGAGGCGCGAGGTGTTTTCAGATTCACGTCATTACCAATGCCGGTGCCAGCTCCAGTGCTTGAGGGCCCAGGGGCGGCCAACATTGTGGTACCGCCCATCTCAACATCGACTGAGTTGTCCTTGCCACCCGTTGTCTGGATTTCCAGTGCTCTAGGGCGATTACCCCCTCCTGCGCCATAGCCTCGAGGTCCGACTTGAAAACCAAACCCACGAGACTGCCTCTGGCTCTGAGGCAGAACTGGGAAAGGCTCAATGACAGTTTCTCGGAAGTCGGCACTCCTTCTCACGGGAGGAAGGTGCGCTGGAGGAGCCTGGTGAGCTCCGACGGCAGAACCAGAAGGCGTATCAGCGCGCTCCTTCCCTTCTCCTTTTGGGTCTTGCGACGAGGAGGAGGGAGGAGGGGTGATCAAACCCATACCGGCTTTGCGGGGCGGCGGGTTGTTGGGATCGGGGCCGGAGTTACGGAAGTTGGTCGTGTCGTAGCCTGTGCGACCCATTATAGTTGTTTGGTTGTTGCTGATGTGTTGTTGATGGTGGTATTTGAGGCCTGGAGGAAGATATGGCGAAAGAGTTGCGTTTACTTGTTGAGTGATTCCTGGGCTGCTGATGGGGAAGCGCTTAGAAGAAGGCGCTAATGGTTAGTGAGGGGATGAGTACTTTCCTTCACAGCCCTCGTAGGTCATACGTGACTGAAAGTGGATTGGGAGAGAAGTGGATGTTAAATAGGTGCTGTCGATTGTAGTTTGAGTTAAGGAAGGAGCAGAGGGCAGAAGGAGTGGATACCTAGGTAAGGTAGGTGCAGTTATATGCAAGACCAAGCAGCTAGCTGATGAATGAGGTATTGGTATTATTGATCTGTTCAGTTGCTGAAAGATCTTGGTATTGTCCCCAAACTCCGCGTGACTGGTCTTGCTGCCTGAGACGGCGAGTGCTTGTGTTTCGTTTGATGTTTTGGATTCTTTTGTCCAAGCCAACTTTTTCGCCAGTGTTTACTTTGTGGATATTAGACGGAAGGAAGAAGATACCTCTACTCATCATGAGGACCGTCAGTCAGGATGGAATTTCAGCAAGACACTTGGAAGGAACTCGCTTGGGCAGCTACCTCTAGGTATCTTCCGGCGCTAGCCCCAGCTCATATTTGTTGAACCATAGATAACTTTGTAATGATAAGACCCAAAGGCCCGAGCCTACCTATGAACGTAATTCAGGGAGCAGATGGCTTGCTTCATCCTGCTAATAGCATCGAAATGGCTGTCGCACTGGGTGATCTTGATCTGAAATGGATCGAGATCGGCACTACTGGCAAAAGTGACAATCTGCTCGAAGCCAAGGGGTCTCTCGAGAAACGCTTCGGCGACGGAGAGTCGCTCAAGCGGAACATCGGGATGATTTACCCGGCATATTACCTCCAGCATGCCTGGGTCCAGAGGAAGGAGAGTGGTGTATTTAGGGTCTCCCATGTCTTCATTGAAGCCCTGAGCGATGAGGGACTCGATCGATGGAATAGGCTTGAGCAGCTTCCCGATATCGGTCTCCGTAGATGACATTTTGTTGTTGAGATGATGTATAATGACTGCGTTCTCAGTGCGGGGACTTTGTTGGCCTGCTGCCACTCGAAGAACGTGGCTCTGGTTGATGAGTTGAGAGGAGAACGGCGAGAGTATCATGCAAAATGGAAGGATAATAAGGACTTTATACCTCTGGGAAGCGGGGACACGAAGCAGGATATGGAGCGCCTAAAGCTCGCAATTCTGACTTAACTGTCATCTCATCTCACTCGTCTCTGGTGAAGAACTATTGCCACCTCACTTGACTGGCGAGATGTCTTGTCCTTATCTCGAGTAATTGGGATGAAGAACAATTCTGTTTCAGATAGCAAACCGAGGGAAATGCCCGCTACGAAATGGTCACTCTTTCTAGGCAGCGTTCAGTCTGAAGTATACCTATCAAGCACAGATATTCAGAGAGCGAAGTCGCTGGCGTTCCGCATTTTGAACCGGCAGGTCATCCAAGGTCTTGGAGAGAAGAAGAAGGGGGGATTGGTGAAAAAAAAATGGAAAAGGGATGCTATCACAAACTAACCTCCCATTTTGACTGCTTCCGTGCTAGATGCATTGATCTCACTGTATTCAAGGCAGTTGGGATGAAGAAGGTACAGATAACAACCTGGAACCTAAGAGAACCGAAAGAAATTACTTGACCCGTGAGAGGATTACTCCTTCCATCCATGGAAGCAAAACAGAATGGAAGCCAAGAAATGTGGGAACGGAAGTCGCAGCCAGCAGCAATTTCATCATCAACTGAAAGGTATGGATGGTAACTCCTACACCGATCATTCAAGACGAAAGGACAAATACTCTCCAGAGATCCGCATCATCGAATCATAACCTCTCCCCTCCCGAAAAGTTCAGACAATGCGTGCTCGTGGATCTGGAATGCAGTCATCTGGAGAAGGATTGCTAGGTATCTTTCAAGGACAGAACTGACGACGAGACGTTCAACGACCTGACTGCTCAGTAGCCCCGAGTGCACTAGTTTACTTACGTGTAGAGGTACAAATAATCCGGCTGTAACATAAAGGTGAAACTTGGGAGCCTTGACAGCAAAGTGCAAAAAAAAAAAAAAAAAAAAAAAAAAAAAAAAAAAAAAAAAAATTAAAATTTTTTTTTAAAAAAAATAAATAAAAAAAAAGAAAAATTTTTTAAAAATAAAAATATTTTAAAAATTTCGAATTTAAATGAAGATTCAAATACAAAACAATTAAAAAAAGAACATATGGTAGAACACAGAGGAGAATGGTAAAGACCGGACATGCCTGGATAAGTATGATCTATGACAAGGTGACGGAACGATTCTCCCGAGATATTCCAGCTTCGTTCTTTTATGCGAGTTTCTCACAACTGTTGCCAGCACAACATGCGCAAAGACCGGAGTTACCGATCAAGTCGGTCCGTTGAAAGTGGTTGAAATTATCAAGAGGAAAATTTGCAGCAAAGTCAATCATATGTGGTGCAGAATGTGATAATAGAATATGTTTTGAGCAGGTCTATAGTCAATTTTACCCCTTGCAAGTTTCCAGGCCTCCGGAATAACGCCGTGTCTGTATGCCGACTGGTATAGATACCCCCCATGTAATACAACGCTGCCAACTTGTTCTCCTTCTCTGCATAATAATCCTGTTGTGTAGCTGGTACACCACATGTACATAATCCCGAAGCAAATCCCTCCTTCAGTCGTACAACTGGAAGAAAAAAGTGACATGAGCGATATATGCATCAACCTCCGACAGCAGTATGACTGACTGTCATGTCCTTCGGTCTTCCCCTTTCTCTTCCTCCTCCAGAGCTAGCCCGTGGCTGGGTTGGCCATGACTGCATGCCAGTCTGACATCCCAATCATGTCGTGATCGCTAAAATGTCGCATCATATCCCCGACGAAAGGCAACCTCCTGTTGTGAGATCCAAACGAGGTGTGACAAACCAAAGCAAGATGACGCCGATTAAGGAATCCAATGTGATGGGAAGCGAAAGAAGCCACGAAGCATGCACCGCCTAATAGAACTCCTTTTACTGCGATGCAAACCAGCGGGTGTTTCTCCTCTATGTTGTGTCCTCTTTTCACACCACATCTCTTGGCCCCAAGCCCCCCTTCTGGAAGCAGTGATCGTCCAGTGATCTGAATGCCGTAGTGTAGATGCGATGCAGCCAAGAAGACGGGATATCTGTGCCAAGCCCATCACCGCAAACGCCACTGCCACACGGGGACAGGGGCATCACACACGGCTTGACGAACCGACTGGTCAATATCGGATGGTGGTGGTGTCTCTGAGCATTTTGCAGTCGGTGAACTCTGGGTAGTCCGAGTGTTGTCGAGCAGAATTGTGGTGATGGTGGCGCAAGACCGAGAGGTCTTGTTGACTGCCGAGCGCAGAGTTCTTGGCGCCATATACTGAATGAATGGGAACGATCCACCAGAAAAAAGATGAGACCGACAAAAGGCAAACGATGCAACGCCAACGCAGTGAGCGCAATCAGATGCAAGCCGAAACCCTAACCCATAATGGTCCAACGCCATTTCCGAGCCCTAATGCAGACCAAAAATCAAGCAGGTTCCATGCGTTTTCCAGTGCCGAGCAAGTGCAGCTCGGTCTTGGCTGGTGCGTTGTTGTGTTTGCTGAACAGAATCCGGTTTTGCTAGTCCATTTCTGATGAGCGTTGTTCAAGTAGTCAGGCGTTCGAAGCGGTTCAGTCTTCGGGGGTTATGAACCTCGAAGCTGATGACAGCGGGTTTGTCTTGGAAGCTGATATGTTGACGAGCCTGGGGTCTTTCGACGATCTTGATGGATGCCTGGGTAGGCTTTGCCATGGACGACACCTTGGTCAGGATGTGAATGCTACCGTTGTCGTCGTTGAGCGAGCGCCTGTCGTGGGGGTAGGGGGTAGGCGAGCGGTGGCGGGGCGACTTGGGTCTGGTGAAGAGGAACTCGCCGCGCTTGTGGTGATGTCTCGACATGGAGGAGCCCATTTTGCAGGTTTGTTGATTGTTGAGTTGGCTGAGTGGTGAAGTAGGTGTGTGTCAAGAGAGTTGAGATGTTGATGTGAGATGGGATTCCAAGTTGAAGAGAAGGAGGAGAGGCATGGGAAGGGGGACCTTTAAATGCACTCGTGTATGGGCTGTCGAAGAAGATGGAGGAGGAGGAGACATGCAGGCCCCCACTAGATTCACCAATGCTCGGCGCACAACCACGGGCATGGAGTTGGCGATGCAACGAACTGTGGCTTCCTGACGCTTGCTTCTTGGCAACACGATGGACCGGCACTATGGTCAGATTGGCTCAGATTGGACGCCTAATGGCGCAATGTAGGTAGTGTGGTGTCGCGGGCGCGTGTTGTACATGCTCCATGTTGACGAACAGGGCAAGCTAGCTAGGCTCGAGTTCCACTCCTCCGGCACCCTTCGGCACCTTTGCTGTCTTCTAGCGCAGCACCCTGCTACCTCCGGATACACATCTGCTGCGGGGTTGCTGCCGAGTGCGACTCTTGCCCGGGCTGCTCACGAGTTCACCACTATCCACTGCCAACACACCCGCCTACTCTAGAGGTATCCGCTGCTCACATGAAGTTATTTTTGATAGTGTCATCATTTCCAGTTTGTCGTAAATCCGGGGTTGTAAGGAGGCGACAAGTTGGGCCAAGCATCGCTACACGGGCCACCATGTCGCTTGGGAACTTGTTGATAAAGCCAGCAACTCCGAATATCAACAATACCGGTTCGCACGTGTTCACCTCGATTCTGAGCTATATCACTGCGCGCTTGGCGGTCTCTGGGCGGTCGCCAAGCCGACACCGGTGTTAATCCTCGCTGCAGATCCCTGGCTTGGCATCGTAGCCCAATCTGGCAGCACCCAGGCGCAATCGAGGTCATCCATCGTCAACACAACACCTCAACAACGGAACCCGACCTGTGAGACGGGCAACTCTAACCCTGCCATTTTGGTCTTGCAAGATCCCGTCATCCTGATCAATAGCTCTCCCTACTACCTACACAGCAGCCAGTCGGCGGGCAACGATACTACGTACGCAGTCTCACAGTCTCACACAGCTCAGCTTCAACCCACTGGCGGCAACAGCGAGCCAAAGTCTTGTGTCAAACCGCCAAGACGGGGGCTTACCTTAGCAGGAGATTGCCCACCATCGCGAGCTCGCTGCAGGGCATCGTCCAGTCCAGGGCAGCTCAACGAGGGGACCGGGCTTGTCAAGGAACTAGGTCGCCCTGCGAGGGGAGGCCTGGAAATACGCAATGTCCCAAGCTTCTACAGGCCCCCAACCAGCTACCATGTAACAATCCCACGCTGCAAGGGCGCGCAATTCGAACCCGCCGACGGCTCCGGACAACTTAATCATGGCGATCTGCGCTTCCAAGAACCTAGCAGCCAAACCTTTCTTTTACGCACACGAGTAATGACTATCGGTCTGCCTGGCACGACTTGGCATCAATCTTAAAGGTTTGCAATTTCGCCGCACAGAGCTCGATCATCGACTCGAGGTAATATCACTTCCTTGGGCCCTTCTCCTCGACTCTACTGCTTTCGAGTCGCGCAACACCTCGCTGCCAAGAGACGCTGTGCGCGTCAACAAGATTACTGACTGACGCAAAACTTGGAGTAGCACAGCGATCCAGCGATGCGATAGTAGTGCGAGAGACAAAGTGGCAAGCCAAGAAGTATGCAACTTGCTCAACTACCACAGCACGAATTTGAGAATCCCTCATCCAGACGGTTGCACCACCGTCCCTAGAGCAAGATCGGACGCAACTGGGAGACGAAACGCCTGCATGGCAAATCTGACAGACAGCCCGCAACATCCGAGCCATAACATCGTCAATCACGGCCGACATCTTCCGTCCTTACTCATCAAGGTCTCTCTATAGTCTATACGGGACCCGGGCTTCTCTATCACGGAAGCCGCTGACTGACTGCCGGCGCTCCTGAAAGGTTAGGTTCAACAAACTAAATTTTGGACTGCTCCAACTTCCGGGCTGACCTCGTCAGAATATGTAACCATTACTGACCCTAACCCTCCCTCACACTTCCCCCAATTCCGGACCCCCTTTTTCTTCTACTCCCTTTCTTCTCGTTCCAATGCTGGTATGTAACGTTGTTACTACTTCAAACCTCACCCTTAAAGTTGCAGCATCAAGATCGCAATGACACCGGCCACTGAACGCCAAGCTCAACCAGTCCGCCATGGACTTGGCTGCCGTCACCACCACGCCCTGTCATCTCACGATGTAGTCCGAGCTCGATACAGGCAATTCGCCAAGCCGTTCCATCTACTGGCCCGAACCCCTTGGCATTCCCCAGGTTCGCGCAGATTGTCCGACGATTGTCTCACACTCTTTGCCATCCATCCATTGTTGATAGGCGAGTGCCGGACGGGATTGACGAAATACCCAAGACCTTGTTTCCCCTTGCTTAGTACCTACCTACTGAGCCTTCCCGTTGTTGTCAGAACCACGCGGTACTTCAAAGACCTGAAAGATCTGGACCGCCATGATTGGCATCGATGCTCATCAAAGCGCATTTTTGAAGATGAATGATAGCCAGATACCAGTCTTCCTCATCGCCAAGTCCCTGCAAGACACAGGTTCCGAGCTCACCGCCGACTTTGCTCCTCAGGGTCACGGTCTAGACTGTCAGACCGCCAGAGAGTTTCAAGAAGCCCGGAACAAGGAGCCTGCTCGTTGAGGCCGTCAAGGAGCGGAAAGGTCCGCTTCGTTTTTTTTTTTTTTTTTTTTTTTTTTTTTTTTTTTTTTTTTTTTTTTTTTTACTTCCAAATTTTGAAAGAACAGCTCAAAGTCAGCACATGTTTGATTGCTGACTCTGATAAGGTTCGTAATGTCCAATACATCAGCCATCATCTAATTCCCAGCGCAACCACTGTCGATCGTGGTATGGTATCCTGCCCGCGGATAGGGTTAGGCGCGCTTGGCGTAAGAACTTCATCATTTCCACCAGAAGGCCGTGACATCTCTACGCTCGCCCAGAACGAACGTCCTCCGCATCTCATTAAACAACTGCACTGCACGCATTCGTGCACATAATTGGTCGTCTACCGCCTAGTATTTGGCTTCTTGGAACCTAGAAATGAGCTGCCGTGCAGATGATCTCTCACGCCATGCCCCATCAATCTAGGGCACCGCTGAAGATTTCAACATAGACACGTGCTCGCTAAGCTAAAGCGAAGACTCGTAGGCTCTTCGAATAACAAGCGTTGTCTCCGCTCTCTTTCGGTAGGTCACGCTGCACTTGGTGTCGAAAGAACCTTTTGTGTGTGTGTGTGCCATACCGTCCACCATCACAACATAGACCCTGTCAGGCTCCAGCTTGAACTCCCCATGAATATACGCATCATTTGATTGACGGAGCCCTACCGTGCCTACCTTCTGGGTTTGACCGATAGTGAATGAAGCCTTTGGGTATACTGGTCCGGTCAATCCTTTGACTTCGACTTTGGCGCCGCGGATGTTGATTCTTCATGTTCCGTTATGACTTTGCCAAGCGCTGCAGCAATACGCCTAGTGTCAACAATCCAAGGGTACCTGCAGTAGTCTGGTTATAAGATATATCAGAAACATCATCTTGACTCGATGGAGGTTCTGGAAAACACTTAGCCTAGTAGTCTCCATCAGCAACCTGCAACTTGTCAACTGTAGTAAATCGAACCCAGATTAAGGTCGACGATTTCAAACTTGAGGGCATAGTTTCCAAGCTTGTTCTGCTTCGAAGGTCTGTAATCCAGGTTATATGTTTTCAGGTCAGCCTCCCTCATTGCCTTGATGGTATCGACGTAGTTGTTAGACTGTGTGACACCAGTGCACATTAAGGTCATAGCAGGAGTGTCCAGGCACGATTGAGTCCTTCTAATGGCAGTTCAAGTAAAGTGTTTGCTTGACCACGTGGTCAGTGCATTCCATGAAGTCTAGGTTATGGAGATGATCAAAAAGAGAAGTTGAGACATAGAAGGTGAAGAAACAGACTTTTCTCATGTGGGCGAGGGAAATCTCTGAACTTCAGGAGTGAGAGGTTGGCTCTCCTTGAACCTGTATCCGCCTAGTCCAATCTGCCCAAGTGAAGTCGGAGGTAGATTGTGGCCGTTGCAATCATCTCGAACACCGGCCCATCATCTTATCCATCACCGTCCTGCTTCATCCTTGCAGTCTATTGGTCTGCAATTGGTTCCGCCGTCTCATTCAGTAGACTTGTAGGTCCGTCTCACGTTATTTGTTCACCTACTTCAGTCTCCCATTCCAGCTCTTTCATCGGAGCGACACATTACATCGTCGCGGAGCATTACCTGCCTAGCTTCATTTACTGTGAACCGATTCAGCCTAAAAAACTTAAGCTCGCTCGGACCAATCTGTTGATATCAGTTTACTCTGCTTCTACCATCTCCCATGACTCTGTAGACCCAAGCTAGCAGTCTTCATGAAGTATCTGGCTCGTCTTTGGAAATGCTTTCTAACCCTTTCAGATGGTGAACTCTTCCAAGCTTTCGTCGGTGTCGGATCTTTCAGAGCAACTACAACATTGTAATTCGAACATTCTCTCGATAGGCCATACTGAAGTTTGATGCGCAATACGAATAATCAGCTCTGCTTTCACTTTCACTTTCTTACAGGTCACTGTAGCTTGTTCGCAAGGACTTGACACCTTCAGCCGTGCGACTGTAAATCGGGCTGTAGTTGGCTGCTCTACTTAGATGTACTTCGAAGGCCTTTCGTCTTGTTGCACGACGAAATCTCTGTGGAAGTCGATGCTTGGGCAACAAGACCTCAAGAGTGAGGGGATCCAAGGAAAATGAGTAGTAAGTGTGCCGGGATTTAATGAAAATTATTCGCGCTGTTTCTTGGCAATCATGGATTAGATAGAGGGAGCAAGCAGCTCGTCGAGCTCAGCTTTGTTTGTCAGTTGACGCCAACATCATTGGAGATGAGATTGAGCGAGATTGTGTTTGCAGATAGTGACCCAATGAGCAGTTGAAAAGCGTTGGTCCTACTCGGCTAGGCAGGATGGGTGGTCGTAAACGCTTGGTGGTGGTGGATGGGGAAGGAGGATTCAGGCCGTGCTTTAGAAAGAAAGAAATTGCGTGGGATTGCGAGTGACAGAAAGTGCGGGAATGCACTTCGTGATCCTCACTAGAGGTAGGTGCTTACTTCTTCAATCCAGATTCTTTCCCTTCTCTGTCGTCAGAGGTGACCACGAAAGGGCCGAACTTGAACGCACCTTCCACTCGCGGACGGTAGCTGAAACACTTGCAATCTGCTCCTGCTCTTGTCAATGCCCGATGAACAGAGTGACAGCGCCAATGTCAGCACTTTATCAGCCCGTTACCAGATGATACAGTAGGTAGCTGAGGTGGGATTGGGGACGAGCTAGAGTCAGGTATAATAATCATGAGATGTAAGAGGGTCACCAAGATAGCCCACAAGTCGTTACTGTGGCCTACCGAAAGAACATTGTGCTCATGATTCCTGTTCACACCAGAGATTTCCACCTGATAGAGGTTGAGAGCGATAAAGCTCGTTTAAGTACCGGGTATATTCCGTAACTCCGTCCAAAACCCATACAAGTGGACGTATCACAGATCAAACTTATCACTTGGCGTCAGGGACCAGCCCTCGCATGTTTTAGCCCAACCATTTTCCGTTCCATGCCCCAAGCCCTAAAGCAAAACACCTGACGCCAATGCCGTTATCCCAACGTTTTTCCAAGTCACCATCATGCCCAGTAGTTCAGTCCGAAAACACTTCCTCACTATCGTTATCGGACTCATCCTCCAACATTTCCATTTTGGAAAGAACTCGGATGAGGTAATCCTGTCCTTTCACCTCTTGCTCCAAGCTGAGTTGATGTTGTCCCTCTATGCCATGCATATGAGAGACACTCGAGGAGATGCCGCACAGGGCTCGCATGACGCCAGACTCGAGCTTGTGGCCCAAAGATTCGACGCCAACTTCCACTCTTTGAGCAAAGCCCTCTAAACGACAGAGTCGAGCTGTTGTTGAGAAGAGGGTCAGATTATTGGACTTGAGTCAAGATCGATACCCATGTGCAAAATTGGATCGTACCTTCTTGGTCTTGCATACGCTGTACATGATGTTGTTGTTGCATTTCTCTAGCCTCTCGCTCTGTCACATCCGTGTGGTATTAGTTTAATGAATAGGCATTGCTCTTGGACCCTGGAGAACTTACCATCAAGTAGTCTCCTCAAAGAATGGATGGCAACAAAGACGTGAGAGAGCAGCCCGGTCTCCTTGAGCTGATCGCAGCTTTTCTTGATGCTGGCAAGTTTGTCGAGAAGCCTTTGCTGGTATTTATCCCCCAAAGCCAGGGCTTCGAAGGCCCGCCTATCTATAGAGGTGGTTCCACCGTTAGATTTTGCCCCGTGATGTTTGCATTGTGATGAGGCGGCGGCCTGGTCACTCACGTCTATGTTTCATAAAGAAATTGATGCCCTCCTCAATGGCTTCGAAAATGGCCACCACAAGATGGATAGCGGCCTGCTGGATGTTTCTGTCATTGGGATGAACGGACAACAGAATCTCAATCTGAGCAAACTCATGCTCGAGCTCTCGCGGGTTGAGGGTTAGTCTGGCGCGCTCGCGAACTGATGCCGCCCTTGTTGCTGCCTAGAATCAACCAAACATTGGCATTAGTCTGGGATTTACTCTGTGACGTAGCGTTGCGTAGAAGACTCTTGGGGCGAAGATTGCTCTTTCGTCATCCCCGTATGTCTCTCCACAAGCCTCGAAGCCCGCAACCGATCTGGGGACTTACATCAACAAGCACCTCCAGAACCCCCATGACAACCGACACATATTCCACCTCCTTGATGAACCGCATAGCCTGGACTCCCACCACTCCATGCTCCGCAATCCGGCGGCACCGCTCCTTGAACCTGCCTCGGCGCCTCCTCAGATCTCCATCATAGCGCCGCCTTGCGTTCTCCAGGCATTGCTCTACCTCGGCCCAGTTGCTCTTGGATCGGATGTCGTACCCCGGCAACACAGGCCCCGGACGCGGTTTTCGCGCCAGCACTCGCATGGCTGGGGCAAATATCTTGTCCCAGAATTTCATGGTCGCGATCGCTGGGAGAGCCGGTCTGGCTGGGTATTTGCCGTTGCCGCCCCGGCTAAAGGTCGACTTGGCGGGTGATATGACGACGTGTGCGGGGGCGGGAAGGTCGACGACATGTTGGATGAGTCCCGAGGCTACGCTGAATCTTCTGTTGTCTTTGAGTTTCTGGCATGAGGGTGACTTGTGGATTTTGTGGATGTGAACGTGAAGGTGGCCCATGTTCACGAGCATGATGGAGATTGAAAGTTGGTCGGTCTCAACCAGTGATGTGAAGTAAGGTAAGGACTTGAATGTACACAAGGTTTTCCCCTTCTTCGCTTTACGTATCAGGGGAGGAGGAGCACCCAGGACCGGGTTTGGTGCCTTAATATCTGAGACAAAGAAGAAGAAGAAGAAGCATAATCAATGGTGGACACTTCAGTCCACACGGAGCCTCAACATGCCCCGGTCTGCTTTCTCGCGTCCACTCTCGCTGAATGGTCAAACATTGAGCTGATCCATACGTCCATGGCAGAAAGCAGGAATTGGTTGCAGCGGCTGGAGGAAAAAAAAAAGCAAGCCTGAAGCCGCTAAGGACATTATGGGAAACGCGGCGTGAAGGCCGCATGCTACACTACCACCGGTATGCATGGGATGGAATCTAGCACGGCAGGCTGTGTGAAGAATTTTGGTGGTCCTTTGGCCTGCATGCGTGTAAACAACGTTTTGCTTTGGCCTGATGTCATGCTCTGCATGTGCCGGCTTCAGGGCCACGTCACTCGTCCAAACTAAAGAACTGCTTCACGACCCAAAGATTCTTCTTCAGCTGAAACTATAGTGGAGTACAGCAACTTGAACCCTCTGTGGAAGATATCCGATAATCCGGGAAGCTAGTCTCCCAGAGTTGGGCTGCAAGGATCACGGCCTCGTTGTTTGTTCCTGTGAGGCTTAAGTTCCACGGAAAAGATTGTCGGTAGATCCCCTAGCCGTTAGGCTTCAACGTTGACCAACGCAAGCGGATCAGCTGCCCCTCCACCGGCCTATAGGACGGAGTGCCAACAACCGTCGGGGTGCCGAGGAAGCGACCCGGATAACGCGATTCCAAACAGCCTGTGTAGGCCAAGGCACATGTCACCTCCGGCAACCCAGATTAGTGGTTAAGGTTAGTTCCGGGGGTGCAGGGAGACCGGTGAGAGGCCCCCGGGTGTGAATGAAAGTTCAACGCTTTGGAAAATAAGAAAGTGGTTTTGGGGTCTTGTTGCCGTAGTCAAAACAATCACATTGTGGTGATGACCTGCCGCCGCGAAAATTGGCGCGGGGTTGATGCCAAGCTTTGGGTCTTGGCTAAGCTTGGCTCTCAGTTTGTATGGACCTACACAAGGCCATATCGACGGGAATCGAGCACAGTCGCTTTTATCCGGGTCGCGAAAAAGGCTTCTTTCAGCTCGAAACATTCATCTCCATGTTTCATTCGGAACCCCCTGCCTGCCGTCGATTGGTTTGGCACTACTGCATGCAGTAAACTGGCAAAGTTTTTTGTCCAGGAGAATGCTTCGTCAACACAGGATGCTCCTAGGAGTCGATCAACGGAGCAAACTCTATACCCTTTCGGTGGTCCAATCCAATTGAGGTCCTTGACCTTTCCCAGCATCAAACACTAACTACACTAATTCGATGACCTGCTTGGTGGATAATGCAGGTTTCTGGCGATCCTACTGCAGTTGAACCCTACAAGTTTTACATCTCTTTCTTCCAGCCAGCACCGCGCTAATGTCTTCCGAGGTTGAACTGCGGCACAATGCTTTTACATATGTAGGTAGCATTACGTCAGATGTTATCCGCACACCAACCACATCCACAGCCGCAAACTTTTGCTTCGATCTACAGTTTTGGGTGCGGAGAAGGAGGAGCAAGCATGTGATCCCGGAAGTCTTCGAGCCGGACTGCCACACATCCACACACACACTCTCTCTCTCTGAGGATGAAGATACGTTGAGAGCAATGATGTCAAGCATTTCACTAGGTATCTACCCAGTATCTGTGAAGCCGGTGAATGGGACTCTCAAGACTATTCGCTCTGCTGTCCATGCAGTCAGTATTTGCGTCTAGGGTTGGCCACTAGAGTTGACTGTATGCTGTTTGAGCTAGCTGTGCGCCTGAAACGCTGCCACATCAAGTTCATGTTGTGTTGCTTCGGCCCTAGCAGCAGCCCCCCCCCCCCCCCCCCCACCAGAAAATAATATTGGCCGATGCCATCCATCTAGGCGCTCGCTCTGATACAGACCCGGTGGTACTCTGTAGTACATATTACGGGTACCGTCTGGACTGGGGGCATCGGCGGTAATTGCCTACCAGAGACAAGCTCTGTCGTTGCTTAGCGGAAAGATGTTGATGGGCTGCGTTTAGTTGGGCACCCATATTATCAGCAGATATATTCAGGTTAAGGCTGTTCTTGTGTTGGGATATCTTCCTCCTGGATTTTGCCTACGTCCTGCAAATTCTTACTATAATAAGCCTCAGGTGTCCAAGTTAAATCCTCTCCTTGAGGAAGGAGTCTCTTCGAGAATTAGTACTGGCGCTCAGCAAGATCTTTTACATTTATCTATTTACTAAAGTAAATTAGCAGAGTCTGAAGTAGCTGGGTAGGATAAGCCTCAGATGCGCTCTAGTAACGGGAACATGATTCGTAAGTTTTACATTTTCTGCCGCGACGAATCTAAAGGTGTGTATCGTTTTCGCTTTCGAGACTAGAGCAAGTATCAATGTTGACATGATGCAACGATACTTGAGTTTGTTGGGTCGATTGATTCAGGTATGAAAGAAGGAGGAAACCCCAAGGATCCGGCTGACTATACCCAAATGATGCAAGTTTTGATAGGGAATAGGCTGCTTCTGTAGCGGAACCGAAAATCCCCTGGACCTCCATAAATGCTAAGATCACTCACAGCAGATTGTGGAAGATTGTGAATACACATACACAACTCCTTTGACTTCATCCGCTGAATCTCATTATTCTTGCCCGGACCTACGAGAAATCTCACCCGGCTCCAGCGGTCGTCGTCGACGATAGATCTTGGCCTGAGACAAGGGCACCATTTCCCGAGCCACCAGGGAAACGAATCTCCTGCCACAGATTTGGCTCAATAAGCCTTCACCAGGGATGACACTCGCAGGATACCTGCCGTTATGGCTCCATCTATAGGGTTTGCTGAACAGAGGAGGAAACTGCGCCACGAGATCAGTTCATGGGCTACTTGAGGAAAAGTGGGGGAGGGGGGATGGTCAAAAAGGGTGGCCACACATATCTCGTCGTATCCCCTTCGATGGACGAGACTCAGCCCATGGTGACATGATTTGAGAGAGATACCCAGCTCAGACTCGGGGCATGAAACTCTGTTATCTTCCTCGGCATAAATCTGAAAGGGACGGAATACCTTCTGCAGCTGATTGGTAAAACAAAAAAAAACCAGAGTCCGTCCCGGTCTGTGGTTGAGGAAATTTAATGAGGATTGTTTTGCAGAGCCTAGGTATACTCCGCATCACCAATATAGCAGGACAACCCAGCCATCTATCCCGTCCGGCATCCAGATAGCCCCTGTTGTCCAACCCAAACACCCCCATCACCCACCAACTCCGACCAGAAAAAAAAAAAAGAATGATCCTTCATCATCATTACCCATTAACCCAATTCATCCTTGACTGTACCCCCAAGTTTGATGAACCTAAGGATTACGGCTCTCAAGCTCGTATCCGTGATGCTGACCACCTTGCGCCGGCGCGTCGTAGAACGTAGGCTTAGGATATTGCGTCGTTGCTGCTGCTTCGACAGGCGCGACTCCCACGCTGTAGGGGCTGGCAGGATACTTCTGAGCAGAAGGCTCAGCCTGGATGGCATAGGCTTGAGAAGCGTAGGCCGTGTCTTCAGCGTAAAAGCCTTGATTGATGGCGGGGTTGACTGCCTTGACGTAGCCATTGCCGCCAGCGCCGGGATTGAGGTCGCCCTTCCGGAATCGGTGGTAGATGATGGAAGCGTAGATGAGCATGCCGACGAAGGAGATTCTATTTGTGGAGGGGCGAGAGTTAGTATTTGCGAGAGGCAGATAGTACTTGGCAACGGCAAGAAAGAGACAAAAGGGACTTACAGGATCACGATTGCGAGAATGATGGTCGCTGCAGTCCTAGCACCAATGACAGCCAAAATAATCAAAACCACCCAAGTGGTCGTCTGCACGACGTTTGTGATCAAAAAGAACTTGGGGCTCAGGGTGCGCCGCCCGCGCTTGATGATGCACACAATGTCCAGCACCAAACACAGAAAGACGAGCATCATGCAGACCGCCACGATGGCAATCGCTGTCTTGACCGTGGTGTCGCCGAAGTCGCTTTCTAAGTCGTCCTGTTGAAGGGTGATGGCGGCGATCACGAGACCGCACGCGCCCAGCTCGAGAACCATGATGATAACCCGGAATACCCAGAAGGGAATTATGACGCGCTTGAGGAAGGGCGATGAGTCGCCGACTACATAGGGTGGGGGAGGCATAGCCGCTGCTGGTCTTGTTTTTCTTCGTTAATACCTATTCGTGTGTTGTTTGCTGTCTGTCTGTAGATATTTCGACTAGTTGTGTATTATTGCGAGCCAATTGGTCGCAATACGGGTGTTTCCTTCCGTACATGTGATCTTTCCAAGTAGCTTTGTACGTTGGCTCAGGATATAGGCGTCGTTCTCGTCGTTCTTTATCGTCGTCGTTTCTTTGTTTGTTGGAACGAAGGAGGAGGGGAGGACGATGAACTCAATCTCAAGTCAACCACACAAACGTGACGGAATTCCGACCTTACGAAAGAAGAGAAAAGCAGAGCAGGCTCGATGGTTTGTTTCTGTGCCACCGCATTGTCAACTTATAACGAAGGAAAAGAAAAGGAACAGAAGTATGATGAGACTGAGTGAGTGATCTAGGTTGCCCCAAAACAAGGTTAGGGGACCCTGCAGCAGCCTAGCCATCCCCCGTAAGGTTCACGTTAAAATCGATAAAAAAAAAAAGAGACGAAAGACATCCCAAAGTGGTCAAGCTCTCAGTCGAACACAGCGCTTGAGTTAAAGAGAGACCAATCATGAGTTTCCACCGCCGATTACTGTTACCCTGCCGCATCTCTAAGCCCCCCTGCTAAAAGCTTGGTGGCGTACCTACCTATTGGTCAATTTTCTTGTTCCCGTCCTTGCCCTTGCTTTCTTTGTTCTCCCGTCCTTGCTGCCTGGGCCTGGAACGGGAACGGCCCAGCCAAGGGGGGAAGGAACAAGCGCGATTGCGGCACGGGTTCCGTCACTTCAGGGACATCTTGAACCTCACAGGCAGAGCGATACAATCAACAATGCTGCCGCTGGAGGCGATGATCGCTTGATGTTTGGTGCCTGAGGAATTGTCAAATCCTGTTCCTATACTGGGATACCAGACCGTCTCCAGTTCCTTGATACATTATCCAATCAAAATTAAAGAGAGTGGACAGCTGTAGGTAGCCTACAGCATCCGACACCCGTGTCATAAAATCCTCCATGCCTGCCATGCAGGTGATACAAACAGATGGGATCCAGTTAAAATCCTCACCCGGGTAGCAACCGATACACAACAGGCCCGAACACTTGAGATCCGAGTTTGTGGCCTTTGAGAGTGGCTTGCGAAAAGGGGAGCACGGCACAGCGAAGAAACCCGAGTTTTTGACATTCCCTCGTGTTTTTGTCAAATCACACAGGTCAGTCATCCTGTCCTTTGGCATTCCACCACCACTGACCGCAAAAGAGAACCTTGACAGTTACCCGCATTAACCCATGACAAAAGGATTTACCGTTTTTTCTCAGGGCAGTGAACGCCTTGGCATCACCAGGATAGTACATAGGCAGCAGCATAGCTAAGCAGCGTAAGCGCTACGTATCGTACGTCATATCGTTGCTCCACTGCCATTCTAGGTATGTAACTCGCCAGTCCAGTGGCTGAGACGAGAACTTGGCAGCACTAGAAGAAAAACCCCCAAAACACCAAAAGAATACAATACCTGCTACGGCGATACCTAACTTCATGCGGAAAGAAAAGGACCTAGAATGGAGGTTTCTGCTTCAATCTGTCTAACTGCGCTGTCCACTGCTGTGTGTAAACCGACCGACCGAGTGGCATCACTCTATCCAGTCTCAAGGCATCTCACTCTGCCCCTGAGGAGGAGTGTTAGCTGATGCCACGAGTCTAGTGTGATTCAATGTGATTGTTCCATGTGAGGGACCGCAGATTTTCCATGAATTTTACGTCAACCCGATCAACATGGCGATCCGTTGCGGATGACGGATTACGCCCCACGGGAGCTTGGGTGATCTACTTGTATGAACCAACCTATAGTAGACGATGTCATAGTGTACAGACAAACATGAAACTGCACAGAGAGAAGGCAAAATCGGGGCTCAACGTTAATTAATCATATTCAAACCCTTTTAATTATATAAGATACCTCGATGAACATCCAACTCACACACTGCCAGCAAAGGAGGTGCTGACATCAGGAACGAAACTTTGTTCTGTATCTCTTTGAAAAAAAAAACAAAAAAAAAAAAAAAAAAAGGTGAAAAATTGGCATCCCTGCGTGACGTAAAACATCGCAGCGGTAACTTGGTCTAACTTCCAAAACGGTTTTCTTTCCGTTGAGCACGGCGGTGGCACAGGGTGTTGTGGCTGCTGCTTGGGTAAGATCGAATCGTATCGTAGGGCTGACGGGACTAAGTGAGACTACGATATACTGTAACTAGTTCCGCACGCTGAACGGATATAGTCAACACCAAGGTTGATATTTGAACTAGGCAAACCATCAACCTTAGTTTCTGAATATCCCCTGCTAACAACCCTCTAGCATGTTCCTGCATACAGATTTCTTGGTAAAGCCCATCGTCCCAGGCAAATCTCTGCGCGTAACCACTCTCAAAGCAAAGGCAGACCAGCTACCAAGCGATTCGAATCAGCAACCCAAATTCCCTTCCAGTTGCTCTCTACTCAAACCGATCCTCATCGGCATAACCATAAGCCAACCCCAACACCCACCCATCCGCTTCCTTTTCTCCCTTCGGATTGACCCCTCCCCAAAGCACAACCCCCTTTCCGTCCAAACACCCCGACGCCGCCAATAGCCCCCTCGGCCCGGGATGCACCTTTCCCTCCGCCGCGGCCTCCATTTTCTGCTCAGTCGGCACCAGCTCCGCTTCCGCCCAGCTGAACTTACCCGACTCAATCCCCTTTGGCATCAGCTTGTCGCGAATCACATCCTTGGCCGCAGCACCCGTAAACCCGTGCGACGGCAGTTGGAGGGACCAGATGTCAGCATAGTATTTCTCTTCTTCAGGTGATGAAGTATCAGACTCGCCGACCGCGTCCGAGGAGATGCCAAACATGTAAATCAGATAGGAGCGGCCGTAGCCGGTGTGGATGGGCACCAACGCACCTCCGACGCGCGGTTGCGGGCCGGGCGTGAGCGGGTTGATGGGGTAGGTGATGGATTGCCAAGTGAGTGCGCCAGGCTTCTCGCGTTCGGTGGTGGACTTGAGGAGATCGAGGTGATTGATGGTGCCGCTGAGATTGGGCGAGTCCGGGCTGGCGCTGATGGTGTAGAGAGTTGTGTCGGCGTAGGCGGCGGCGAGAGGTGGGAAGGGGGACTTGGGGAGGGTGGTCCACGCGTTGCGGTCGAAGCTGTAGAGCCATGTTTCCGTTTCGCTGCCGCCTGAGCTTGATGTGTGACCTCCGTGAAGGATCAGGAAGTTCTGCTTGTCGTCGACAAAGATGTGGTGGCCGTAGCGCGGCACCAGCTTCACCCCTAGTTGCGTCTCCCCTTGCAGCTTTGTCCACTTCATGTGCTCTGTGTCCCAGAGCCAAAGACAGTTGTCTTCCTTGATTGGGTTTCCGTGCTCGTCGCATCCGCCGTGGACGACAACCGAGTTGCCCCAGGCGCACGCGGCATGTTTGGTACGAGGTGCGGGTATGTATGTCTCGCCGGTCTTTGCCTCGATCAAGGGGAATGCTGGAAAGTGATCGTGGATCTTCTCGGCACCGGTGTTTTCTTTGCTCGGAAGAAGAATGGCATGGACATCGCTGTTGCAAAGCTTGCCATCGACATCTTCGCCGCCAAAGATGTAGGCTTTGTTACCGATGGTGGTGATGGTATGATTGGATCGGGCAAGGGCTCGCCTGGAGGAATGCAGTATGATTAGCAGGTGGTTCCTTGTTGAGAGGGGAGGAGAGAGAGAGCGCGCATACTCGGTGGGTTCTGATGTCGCCTTCGCTAGTTGTGTGAGAGACACTTTCAGCGGCTGCGTTGGAGCGGCGACGGCGACTGCGGCTCCGACTTCGACGCCTGTTGCCACGATCTGCTCGGCAACCAGAGCACCGGCTGCAACTTCGGCCATTGTTTCTAAGGATCTGGGTGGTTGATGGTTTGTGAGCTTCGCGATTTCTGATTATTCTCAGCAAGAGTGCAGCAAAAACAGCAGATGTGTTCTGGAAGCTACTGTCAAGAAAAAGGTAAAGTATCTTCCAGAGTGGTTCTCTGGAATCGGTGTGTGTATAATTCTACTAGAGGTAGCGGTGATGTTTGTTGTTTGTTGTCTTGCACAGAAGGGACGGGAGCTTCAGACGAACGCCTGTGACGTCAGAGTGGGGTATACGCGCTTATCGTCTGTGATTACCCCTGACTAAAACCTTATCGCTAACGAAAAGTCCCGGTCCGCTACACAGACAGTTCACAATTTACACTACACATAGGCAGCATAGGTAGCGCGAGGAGAAGGGAATACGACGCAAAAAAAAAAAAAAAAAAAAAAAAAAAAAAAAAGAGAGAGAGAGAGAGAGACAGAGAAAACGTTGAGGAAACCACTTGGTGAAAAAGCCAGTTACCCGCTTAGGTTAATAATTATGCTCGCTGGGCATAAGGATGTTGGAGATGGGTATATTGTATTTTTATCAGACATCCCCGAATCTCTTCCCCGCAATATTTCCCAACATGATGATGAGGAGCTGACAGAGGGACAAACTGCAAAGAACATCCATTCATTACTCGTATTACATTATCCTCAACACTATAGAAAAAGCAAACACATCGGGTATAATGTCATCAAACAATAACTTCAAAGTCATGACACAATGCCTGAACCTGCACCGTTCCCCCCTTTACAATCATTCGCCTTTTTTGATATCCAAACCGCCAATTAGCTGGCACAATAAGAAAAAAATACTTCTTTTTCTTTCCATTTAGAACACCAAGCCCTTGTTCTGCTTGACATTGTCGAGCTTGATGTCCCTCCAGAACAAGACCGACACCATTGAGATGGCCTGGATGGCCGTCGCAGCGATGAGCATGTACTTCTGGGAGTCACCGTAGGCCCGGGCAATGGCGTTTCTGGTCTCAGAACCATATGGGTAGCTCAGCTGCGTGACAATAGAGCCGTAGATGGCGGTCAAATTCTGCTGCTCCGAGGCGGGAAGGTACTTGGCCAGGTGCTTGGGGAAGACACCAGTCCAAATGGCCGAGGCGACAGTGGAACCAATGGCACCACCAACGTTGGAGAACATGGCCTCGATGGCAAGGACGACCGCAATGAACTCGTGCGAGGTAGCCGCCATGACCGCCATTTGCTCGCAAATGACGAGGGTACCGCCGGCGGTAGCAATGAAGATCTGGCACATGACAATGTAGCCGACGTTCTCGTTGGGCTGGCGGAAGTGGATCATGAGACCGACACCGAGAATGGTGACAGGGACACCAAAGTACACGGCGAGCCACTTGAAGCGGTTAGTCTTGCGGACGGCCCAACCGACGAGGAGAGACCAGAAGCAGGAGCCGACGCTGTAAACGTTGACAACGTAGCTGGTCTTGACGACGTCGAGGTTGTTGACGACCTGAAGGAAGGAGGAGAAGTAGCTATCCCAGATATAGAACGAGACGAAGAGGGCACCCGCAAGAATACACGCACTGATGACGGTGCGGTCCATGAGGAGTTGGTAGGGGATGAAAGTCTTGGGAGCCAAGAACTTCTCATACAAGGCGAAGGCGATCATGAGCAAACCACCAAAGATGAGGAAGCAGATGATGAGGGGAGACTTCCACTGGTCCTTCTGGTACGAATAGAGGTTGAAGGACAGGAGGAACAAGGCCAGACCAGTAGTGATGAGGAGCAGACCGAGAATGTCGAACTCGATGACGTAGAACTTGAGCGTCTGCCAGAAGTTGCCCTTGCTCTCGTGCTTGGGGAGAAGACCGGCCTTCTTGGCCTTGACGTGGTTCTTGTAAAAGAGCCAGAGGATGGGCGAGCAGACCGCGGGGACAATAATGGCAAAGGCGCCATAGCCCCACCTCCAGCCAGGGCCGTCGAGGAAGCGTTGGGCAACGATACCGCTGATCCAGCAGGTGATGATGTAGGGGGATGAAACAAAGGCAAACAGCAACGCTCGATTCTTGAGGGCTGAAGTATCGGCAAGGAAGATGGAGATTGAGTAGGTGAGGCCGTTGTATCCAACCCAGTAAAAGACCTGGGCAGCCGCGTAGGTCTTGACGCCGTTACAACCAGCCATCATGATCAGACCAATGGTCAGGCAGCCAAGCATGGCGCAGAAACCCTGAGGACGACCCCAGATATCGAGGATCTTGGCAAGGGGAAGCTTGAACAGACCACCGATCAAGCTGGACATGATGCTGGTGGTAGCCGTCAGGGAGTGAAGAGCGAAGGAACTGGTAACGTAAGGATAGAAGCTGGTGGACATGCCGGACTGAAGGGCATCGACGAAGTAGAGGATCCAAATACTGGGGACGAACGATGGTTAGTCAACAGTCACATACAGTATGTGGAGCAAGTGAAGGACAGAACATACGTGATGTAGGCCATGTACATGTCGTTCCGGGTCCAGACCTTGGTCATGGCCTCGACACGCTGAATACCGGCCTGAGCCTCCTTGGAGATCTCCTGGCTGGAGTCGGTCTCGGCACCCGGGTCCGACGCGTTGGCGGCAGACGTGGTTCCGACAGCGGCCTCCTTGTCATTGGGGTTGTGCTGGACCTCCTCGACGATGTCGGCCGGAGCCGCAGGGCGGCCCAGCTTATGAAGAAGACTCCTCATGGTGAAGGACGAACGGAGCTGAGTAGCCGATAAGTATGAGGAATTAAGAAAATGTCTCGGTCGATCCGGGTCAGTTGAGAACCAGCCTCCAGTCGGTGGGAAGGAAAAGGTATGGAAAGATAGGAAGATGAGGGAAGGAGGTTTGGGGGGTGGAAGGCAGATTATCAGATCAAAGGAGAACGGGAGGAGGGGAGAGTCGGGAGCGGGATCGAAGTTTATATTACTTATCAGATCGAAGTTGCGCAAGGCGGATGGACACCATCTGTACTGTTTCTTCTAGCCCGATACAGTTTCTCCCCAGCCAATCCAATTGCCGCATTGTTTGCAGAAAGTCTGTTGACCCGCATTGAGTGAATAGACGATTGGTTGAGGACGAACATACGCGGCGCTATACCCAGTTGAGTGAGTTTGGGTGAAACTGAATCAAGTGAGAAAACGCGGTACGTAGTACGGCGTGGCCGGTGGAGCTCGGTTGGAGCTTGTGCCGTGGGGTGGAGTGGGGTGGAGTTCTCTGGCGTCCGCGGTTCCTGTGTGGTTGGGAAGGGCCGGGAGTGGAGGACTAGAGAGAGGTAGCAGGGGCAGGATCGCAAGGTTACACTGAGCCAGGTAGCTCACTGCAGAGGCAAAATGACTGTCAACTCGGTGGGGACCACAGGCATGCAGCCAACACAGTAGAGACCGAAAAGGGCATTGCGCCGTTCTGGAGACTCTCCTAACGCCTCGAGAGTCGGCCATGGCGATAGCCTCTGCAAAATCCGGCCGAGACGGGATACCTAGCCAGAAGGGGTCTGCGAAAAGACAGGATGGGGATTCCCTTGTTCAGATCCTCCCCGAGGCGGTTGCGCGGCAGCAAATATCCTCAAGTTACATGGCCGTGATGAATATGCAGGGCAGTTATCTTGACGCCGGTGACGGGGACAGGAGAGCGATGGGGTGAGCAGAAAAGGAAGAAGGGGCCCAACGTGGCAATGGAGCCCAGAGGCGCCGTCAAAGTGGACAAGCCATGCCATTACCTGCTGCGTACTATGTACATATGTACTGTATCCCACAACCCACGCGGCAAAATGGAAGAAAAACGATGCATTGTCACCCCAGCTGCAGTGAAGCCTCTCGGAGAAGTGCGGGCACTGTTGGCTGTCGGCTAGGTCTGGAGTCTGGACTCGGTGTTATACCTAAACTGGGCTGACCTACTGTAAGTTCCGTACACCAACTTACTGTAATTCGTAATTTCGAACGTTGTCTGTGACCTTGAAGAGCTCTTTGACAGATGGTACAAGTGTCGGTTGCAGTACCATACTCTGATCCGAACAAAATCGGAGTGCTGTGTCGTCTTGTGTTATGTGTTCTGTGTTCTGCCCCGAAGTTCAACAAGTTAACACCAAAATCCGTTGTCACTGGGCTATCGTTACTTCTGTTGTTCATACATGCGCGTTTTACACTGGAGCTTTGTGAAGCAGCGGTGTGTTTTCTCGACGATGGTATCGATGGGTCGATTACGTCTTGCATTTTTAGGGATCCGTCTTCCAAGCCGGAAAACTATTCCCTATCGCAGAGTGAAGGGCCTCTCAGTTACCACTTGAGTTGACTTTTGATTCAGCTCTCTCATTCGAGTATTTGACACTTCCCATCTGTGATTGTGATTACAGCTGATAGAGCAACAACGTGTCCCTCTTTCAGATACGGCATCTTTCCACTTGAAACCGTCATGTGTCCATCAAGACAGATCGCATTCAGTACCAATTTTGACCGGGACGTGAAGACCGGTACTATTGGAATGATCCACCACCCATGATTCCACCAATCTAGGACGCCCCTGGTTGCACAGGGCCAATCGTAACGCAGAGGCCCCGCACCTTAACCAAAGTTCCACTTTGCCAAGTCGCAAAATTTTTTATCAGATCATCTTATCTGATCGATAATCCTGACTGATGCCAACGGCCCACCCACCTTCGCCCACCGTCACAACCAAGGCATCAAGGGGCCACGGCAATGTGTGATGACTTGGCCGGTCGGACAGGGTGCCGCATGCGCTTGTTGTTTCTTTCCAGGTCTTTGCGCGGCAGGAACGCCGATCGACCGCAGAACTCCATGACAGATTTGCTGCTTCCACGCGAGCAGCGGCCACCCGGCGACGTCAACGGCGACATGACGGAAAGAGCGACATCGGCCCCTCCCTCGTCCGTCTATGCTTCTTGCCCTCCCTTTGGAAGACAGCAAAAGTAGATACCTAGGTTCGAGAACCTGTCTTTGACGAGCGAGTGTTCTACACTTTAGCGCAGGTACCGGTACAGGGGCAAGCCGTCAAAGTTGATCATGTCAAAGTTTTCCTGTCCTTCGCCGCCGCCCTCGTAAGGCACACAACATGCTACTTCCCTGTGCAAAGTCAGCCATCGGGCCGGCGCCATCAAGGTGCATTTATTACATCCCCCGACCTGAAAAATTGGAAGGGTCCAGATGGTGATAGTTTAGAAATTGGTCACTTCTTGGCTTATACGATTGGGAAGAGGAGAAAGAGAAAAGGGCTGGAGAGATTCCGTTAGACCGCCGGAATCCGCTGGAGGAAATCATTCGGCTCCGATGAGGGAAACGGGAATGTGTGTTGGTCACTGATGGCAGTGGAGATGGCCTGAGGAGTGAGGGCTTTCGCACACGAGAAATCTGACGATAAAAAGCCGACGAAAAGGAATGGATACCTGTGCGGGCCAAGAGCGACAATCTTTACCTGTTCTGGCAAGACGCCGTTACCCCTAGCGGACCCGCTTCCGCTGCTACCGTACCGCAGGGGCAGGAACACACCACATCCCGTAGGGGTCCCCATCTTACCTGACGAATCTTCGAGGGCTGGGACCTCACAGCAGGCCCAGGTGTGAAATTGAACTTTTGGAGTTCCTACCTACCGATTCATCATCCGCTTGACTTGGCTTCAAAGTTCAACGCCGAGAACGATCTGGCCACATAAGCAACTGGACCAACACCGACGGAACCGTGACACTGAACCATACGGCTGGGTCCGAGATCAGGAACACTGCAAATATACGTACTTGTCACTGACCAGGGACAACAAAGAAATCTCTGCTTGGAATTGACAAGGTTCACCTCGGAGCAAGTATTCAATGCCACAGAGGCCCAGAGGCTCTCAAGAGCGCCTATCTATCGGCTTCGGCGTCTCTTCGATGTTGTCGTCAACCGCGCCTCCAACGGTGACCAGCATAGAAATCGTCGTCACCAGTCACCACTGATCGTCATTTCCATGTCCGACCTCACAAGCCTTGAAACAATGAATTGCGAGTGCAATGCCTGTGACGGCCCCGTTGCTGCCCCGTCATGCTTCATCAACTGCAACCATGGAGTCCCGATCCTTTAAAGGTTGGCTCTTTTCCCAATTTGTACACTATCATGTCCGGCTGCCCACGTATGCTCTCCACACCTTACCCACCACCCCCGACGGGAGAAGCAACGTGGAAAATCCCCTTCGAAATGGGCATGAGGCACACGCCCGTCATGCTCTACCGTGTCTGCTGGCGCTGATCTCACAAGTAGATCATAAATATTTCGCGCAAGCGGGGATAAACCCACCAAATCCGTACGGCTGCTCCGGGCATCCACCTATCTTTAATCTGGGGCGAAGACACTCTCCGGTAGTCAACGACCGTGCCGCCCCTCTCCGCTATTTGAAGACATATCGGAGATAGGATACTTTTGGCGCCGTTTCCTCCGGCCTTGTGCTACCGTTCCTGTTTCGATCTCATGCTGAGTGGCATGGTCAAAAGTCCGGATACCACTTGGTGGCCCGCCTTGCTGCGACGTGCCGGCCGCTACCGTCTCCGCTACCTGGCAAGATTCGATTTCAGGTACGGAGCTCCTGCGGGTGAGCCGTAGGGCATGTTATTGACCTTGGTATATTGAAATTGGCATTGATTACGATACTTCCTTGGTTTCCGCTACATGGATTCTCCAAACACCCTATTGCCTTCCGGTTCGCAATCCGCCTTCGTCCACCCAGCTCACCGAATTCTCGGCTCAATTCCAGCCTCCTCAGGCTTCTCATTCATCCACCTCCTCAACCACTGCCTAGCCAGCGGATGTAGATGCAGCTGCACCCTCCATTTCCCGTCTCCCATCCCCCCTTGAGTCGCTTCAGTCGTGGGGAACACAATCGCATAATAGTCTGCGCTCGCCGACGTCGATGGTTTATACACAGTGTGTACCCACAATCCCATCTCCATCTCATCCTCCCTCGATGACGACGTCATCTTCCTGGAACCAATCTCCACCGTCGCCATCCGTCTCCCATGCGATTCTCCATACCCTATCCCCTTCCAAGCCTCTCTTCTCGCTTGGTCAAGAGAAAAGATACACAACGGCCTTCCGCAACCTTCATTCGAATCCCTCTTTGCCGCCATCTTAACTCGCCGCGCATCTTCCTGGCCAGCTTGCGCTTGCCCTTGCGCTTGCACGACCTCGACGGCCGAGCGGATCGCAAGGGCAAGTAGGGCGTATTGTCGGAGATGAGGGATGCCTGTCTCGTCGGTAATGACAGGGCGGAGGAACTGGTGTAGAGGGACGGTGGCGATGGCTGGGAGGTGGTAGTCAGGGTGAAGTTGGTTCTGGCTTTGGGTGTGAGTAGGAGGGGAGGGGGCGCCGCGGACGTCGACGATGGTGATAAGTTTCACTACTTCCACGAGGTTGTCATTAGGAACGAAACTGTCATGGTTGCTGCTGCCGCTACTGCTGCTGCCATGGAGTTGCGCTCGAGTGAGCAGATGCCAAATAAAGGCGTACAAGATGTCTTGTTCGGTGATATTGCTGGCCGACGGCGTCGAGGTCATTTGATGGAGATAGGCTTGGGCGGCACGGTGCACGGTGTGAACCCAGCTGGTGCAAATGGTGAGCATGTCAGTATATGCCGGGTCGTATGGACGGCGGAGGTAGGTCATGAGGCGGTGATCCTCATTGTTATTTTTGTTGCCGGTAGAGTCGTCATTCTTGGAGTCCATTGTGGAGGTGGTGAGATGATACTAGTAAAGATGTTGTCGCTGTTGCTATTGTTGATGATGGATTAGCAGCGTCAATGTATCAGTCCTGCTAGCTGTTCGTGTCGAAAGCTATGGATATCAACTACCATATAAGTTGACGCGTCAAATTTTCTTGATTTCAATCTTATTTTTTTCATTTTATTTTTCTTTATCAGGTCCAGATCTTATTCTCCTTCTCTTCTTTCTCCCCTGCCAGCCCTCATCATGCGGAGCACTGAAAGGAAGGGACGATCCTTGTATTGCCGAACAGGAGTTCATGCAAACACATTTCCGACCGATCCATCATATCGGATGAACTATGTCAGTGCGTTCGCCACAAACTTTCCATAACACGTGCGTGTGCTTCACAAGAGTTACCAGCGTGCCGGTAAAGATAACTAACGGAAATAAAACCAAATATACAAAATAAATCAAGACAAAGCGAACGAACCAAGACGACCCAAAACAGAACGGCACGCGACGACACCGCACGGCGGGAAGGAAACACTCACACAAAGCCTCTTCCAGTACGATTGCCGGTACCGCTGACTTCAGGATGGTTTGTCAATGACCACGATGTGGTTGGCGTTCTTTCCAATTCCTTCATTCTCTGCCTTTCTGGTTTCGCTCGGCCAAATGGCCTTGCTCAGTGAAGCATGTCCCATTCATTCGTGTTCAAATCCAACAGCAACCTCTCTCAAAAGCTCCCTCCTCAGTCTTGACACGATGACTTCGACGTCTGCAGCATCTGCCACAGCCTGGTGTATCGCAATCCCCAGCACCATTCCCGTTGCGTCTGATGATGAGAATTCGCCTCCTCCAAGAAGCCTACTGCGCTGGACGGTCATGGCATCAACTAACCGAGAATGGCGAGGTGGTCCATATCTGGAAGAATCCATTCGGCCGCCGAGGAGAGGAATTCGGAAACAAATGTCAGGAACGCGGAACGGATAGAGGCCCTGGATTAGTTCCTCAAAAGACATTTCCAACCTTTGCTCTTCATGGTGGGTGATCAACTGACGGACGGCGTCTTCTGGAGTCTGGATTGGGAAGCGGAGGTAGAGTTGTAGTCTGTGGGCGGCGGCGGCGGTGGTGGTGTATGCATCCTCGTCAATGTCAGCATTGTACCGCTCTTCTGGAAGACGCACGAGCGGATGGGGACCGGGCCGGAGGAGGTGACTTGGATCTCTCCCGCCTTCAAAGTACATGTACACTATGTTGCCTTGTGTAAGGTTACTGAGATGTTGCAAGGCAAAGTTCCGGTTGGTGTTGGGGTTGGAGGAGCGATGAGGGGGTCTAATAGCATTGGTATAGGGATCGGGGTCAGGAGTGTCGATGGCATCGTGATCAGCAATGGTTGAGGAAGCGGCTGAGGCGGGACCGAGTTGACATGAAGCGAGAAAGGAGAAGTCGGGGAGGAGAGTGCGGATCAGGGCCGGCTCAAGAATGGCTGCGCAGAGGGAGTGTGGCCAGGGGAGGAGCAGGGCTCGACAGTGGTAGCCGCGAGTTTGAACGTTGTCGAGGGCGGTCAGGACGTTTTCGGGTGGGGGTGGGCTCGAAGGGGAATCCGTGAAATAGGTTATGGAGCCCATGTTGTGATCAATTCGAGTAAACGTGTTCTACAATCGAATCCTACATCGTTGTCGAGCGGCACACAAAGGTGGCTTTATACACGAGAGAGTATATATGCTGGTGATCCACCGGACTAGTCATAAGACGGTGTATGCCATGATACTGAGATGCCAAGAAAGCAGAATAACATTTTGAAGAGACTTGGACTTGGGTGATTCACAAGGGTTTGGATGTGTAAGTTTCTTCCGAGAGGTGGTGTTCATATAATAATTACTGCAAGCTTGATCATCTTGTCACGGGCAAACACATCCCTTGAGTCACGGTCAGTACTTGGCGGAGCTCGACGGGTGAAGCGATTGGTGATGCATGTGCTCTTGACCGTATGGTACCGACTTTCCCATGTACTTCACTGAGACTTCCTGATGCGAAACCTGTCAGAAGATGGTGGTCATTCTTTGGCCTTGCACAATTTTCAGCTTTTCCAAAGGTCATGGCATGAAGCTATTCACGGTTCTTGGCGTTTTGGGCACTGTTGAACACGGTCCGGACACTCGGGGATAGCAGAATGGCTGTTACTTGGCCACCATTGCAAGCGTGACATTTTACCCTGAGACTCGTTAAAGATAGAAAATACGTATCTGATTGGTCCAAGTCGTCAATGTCTGTGATTTCCAAGTCTTGTGGTTGTCAACGTAGTTGTCGTTGGCGTTGTCGTCAGCAGAAGTGGAAGAGGATGGGCGACGGGACGACCGGGCGCCAAGATTAGGTACTAACCTAATATGCAGTCTAGCGCTAACTGTTCTGCGTATGTTCCCACTAATTGTAACGTCGTAGGGGCGTTAAACCCGCCAAGGTTTGGGGGATTGACAGGCCCCACAGCTTCTTCCCATTCCCGTTGCATCCATCCGCGATTTGAGGGTTTGAAGGTTACATACTATAGGTACCATTATCTCGTCTCCAATGCCTTTGTTGAATGTCTCTGGCCGCCATGGGTGTTGTTTTGGTGGCTGGTGTGCAATGTCTGACCTAAGCACAGGAAGCGCCGATAAGCCGGGCCGGACTCAAAACGGCCTGAGACCTCCCCCGCTTGGCAAATCCATTGGCGCTGGATTGCCATCACACTGCAGTTGTTTGTTCGGGCAATTGCCCCGCCATCCTCCGGCCACCAAACATGCATCGTTCGGCAGTCCGCCAACACAAAACCATCGTCCATCCAGGGCATCTGCAAGTCGTCCGACGCCGCACCAGACCTATTTATTTACCATGAGGGGGTTTTCCTCAGACAACACCTCGGTCCTCTAGAGAATGGACGTGCTAATACACACGCTCTCTACGCAAACATGTAACACTGCCCCAAATGACGAATCGAGTTGAAAAGAGAGAGTGACTGTGACTACCCAAGTACTAACCTTGCTGGTCTCCCTCCTCAGGATTGATCCTTCGATCCGCCTTCGGCGCGCAATCCACATAAACGACCACCTCCTCGTCAAGCGCATCCTCCGCTCTCACCCTTATCTCCTCCACAACCCCGATCATTCCATATGCGGGAATGCGAACTCGAATCTCCACCTAGCCGCTTCCCTCGGCCATCTGTCCATCTGCAAGATCCTCGTCGAGCTCGGCCACGAAGAGGGCACCCCCGCACTGAACGATGAGCACCAAACCGCACTCATGCTAGCAGCCTCAGCCGGTCATACCGAAATCGTCCACTTTCTGTGCGAAAACGACCCGCAGTCCATCTTGCGTCAGGATATTCGCGGCCGCGATGCCGTCATGGAGGCTAGTCTGAACGGCCACGATACCGTTGTGCAGATCCTGCTTACCTGGGCTCCCGGCGGAGCTCCTGCTGCGCTGGCGCAAGCAGACCTGGATGGAAACACGGCGCTGCACTTTGCTAGCGGCAATGGGAACCTTTTGGTACTGAGGACGCTCTTGGCCGCTGGGGCGGATCCGGGCAGAAAGAACGTCTGGAGCTGGACGCCTGGCGAGTACAGCGCTACTGTTCAGGCAGAGGTCTATTTGAAGGGATTGGTCAATGAGGTGCAAAAGAGGAAGACTGCAAAACGAGAGGCGGAGGAAACCCAGTCGGCACCACCACCGCTGTCCAAGAAGGATAGGATGAAGGGGGCATTTGTGAAACTGGTTGGGAGAGATGTGGATGTGGGCGATTGACGCCAACATATTTCAATGTTTGGTCGCCCCTAGTGCTGGACGCTCTTCCAGATTCGAGAGAGTTGGGAGAAGATGGAGCATGTCACCACATGGGGCATACCAAGGGAGAGCGCATATCTGTGTGTCACCCAACATTGATATGGAGGAAACCAGCGATTCGAAGCAGCTAGATCAAAGAGCGAGGAGCCTCCTCTCCACACCGCTCACAGGCTACAGAATGTGAGTAAATACAAGACTTGACATCGAATTCCGCGTCATGGTGCTCAATTTTCACGTGTCTTGCGATTTCCCGCGCCATCCCATCGGTCAACGGGTGATGACTAACAAAAGTATAGCAGAAGGGATACGTGGAATTGGGTAAAGTCATCAGTCTTACCAATGGTCACCAACGCTTCCTCGTCTGATCGAGAATTGAACAGTCAATGATTCACACTCCGATCGCATCTTGGTCATGGCCTTCCGGTCATTATGCAGAGATGGCATTGATTGTCGTGACTCGAGTCAATCTTCGAATCTTCAGGTGTAAAACTGCAATGGTTCAACTCTTTCCGTCTGCACCAGCTGATCTATCAGCCGTCATCTTCTGGCTGCTTCTGGCTGTTGGTTTTCTTCTTGGACGCTATGGATGATTGGCCAGAGGTTCCAGAGCATGGCGTGGTCAGACTCGGTCGGTCAAGAATGTCAAACATCGAGTTGTTGGCCCCTCGTCATCAGTCAAGAAAAATTATGGTCATCAATCCGATGTGTGCTGAGGCACCAACTTGCAAGATAGGTGTTCCCATGACACGACAAAATGGGACAGATGTCTTCGTGATCCAAGTAGCATTCGGTCTGTGAATTTTACCCTGTCACGAAGCCTGCGTTGCCCAAGATGTCCGTCAGGCAAACTGAGCTTCAGAAGACCGGACAGTCGACTTTCAACCAACAACCCAACCGATTAGTCGTCTCTTCACCGTCCTGATTACCCAGAGGGTAGCGATATGGCCTTATCCTGTCACAGAACTCGATCACAAGGGGTCTCCTTACAGCCATGGCATCATGAAGCTGTCAAACTTTTCGTGGAGGTACCACCGTATCCTGGAGTATTTAAAGCCCACGTCGTACACTCCTTCTGTTCCTTTCCTCTTTCTCTTCATCGCGAACAAGATCAGCTCAGCAAGCATTCTCTCGACCACTCGTCACTATCCGCATTACCGCTTTCAGGGTACCCGCCCTCAGCCCTTACACTCCTTCATCGGCAGTCCTCTCGCCTGGGAGACCGCCGACAACGAGCCTCAACCGTGGCCTCTCCTCATATCGAAGAGTGGGAAGGTACAGTAGACTTGCCCTACCCGGCAGTCAAGTGCGTTATCACTCAAGTCACTCACGCATCCCCTGATCTGGGTTGCTGGGCTGTCCTGCTACTTGGTGCTTTTTACGACGCCAGCGACCGTATCCTCTGGCAGACCGAGGTTTTCCTTGGAGACAAAGCCGAAGACTCTGAAGAGACCTACGAAGATTCTTACAGTGTCAGTGACGCTGAAGAGTGTATGTTGCAGGAAATACTACTGTACTTGGGAACAGACGTTGACCATTGTCAGACCAAACACCTTCTTACATCCTTGAAACGGACGATAACGGACACGAGGACGATTACGCTCACAGCGAAACAGGAAGCGAAGATTCTGACTTCGAATACTTCCGTCAGCGTGCCCGAATTTTGACCAGGGTTAACGAAACCGCTGCCCAACAAGATTCATTGATTCACATCCCTTCCTTCCCTACTCCCGTAGGCTTACAGAGACTTTGGGACCCTATCAGACAGACCTGGGTCGACGTTTACCCTCAAGGCAACTACTAAGCATTTATCTTCAAGATGTCTTTTGTTCTCGGCGGTGGCTCCAACCCGGCTTTCGGCCGTGATCCCGGCCCTCCCCCTCCCCGCACTCCTCGTCCCGGCGCCTTCCCTCCCGGCTCTGTTCCAAACCCAGCTGCTGTCCCGCGAGTCATTCCCGGAATGCCGGCTCCCGCTCCCGCTTATGGCTTCGCTCAACAGCCCGCCGCACCTGCGACTTCCCCTTACTACTACGCCCAGGCCCCGGCGCCGGCTGCTCCTGCTGCTCCCACCTGGGGCAGCGCCATGGCCGCTACCCCCAGTCTCTTCCCTCAACCTTACCAGTACATCTCCGGCCTAGGCGGTAGCGGCCGCACTCCCCAGCCCTACCCCGTCATCAACCCCAACATGCCGGCGGCCAACATGATGAACAGCACCGGCGGCGTCGGCTGCGAACCCGGCTACAACTATTTCTTCCCGCCCGAGCACACGAAGATCCACGTTTTCAAGTGTGGCGCCACGCCACCCTGGCATCAGCCGCCCAACGCCCGCTTGCCGTTTCACGCCTGTCATGTTCCCGTCTCGACCACCGTCCAGGAACTCATGTATGGGTTTGGCGCGACTAATCCGAGCAAGAAGAAGAACAAGCTGTTTGAGGTGGTGCAGGGTGGTAATGGACGCTGGTATCGTGGTTTGGCGTTCAGGGGCGATGATAAGGAGTTGTTGCAGAAGACTTGCAAAGATTTGGGATGGGATAAGAGCAGAAGTGGCTTGCCAGGACAGAAGCCGGTGGTTTATCTTTACGTTACCAAGGACTGATGGGGGGTTTTGGGATGAGATGGGGAGGTAGCGGCATGGAAGTTGCCAGGAGCGTTGTGGCTTGTTTAAGGAAGATGAGAGGGATGATGGGCTTTCTTACGCGCCGGTGGCGGATGGTTGTGCGCTCATGATATGGAAGGTTTCATTTCTGCTTGTCAGTGCCTGCTACTTTTCATCTTAGTTACGTTTCGTTTTCCGCAAGTTCAAGGTTTTTCATAGCTTATCATTCAGTGGGACTCAATACGCATGACAGTTAGCACCTACTACTCATTCCTCTTCAGTGCCATGTTTAACTCATTTGTTTACTTTTAGACCTTCTCCCCGACGCACGGGCCACCCCCTTTTTCAGATATCGTCCTCGTCTTCGCATTCACTGCCCATCTCCCTCTCGAGTCTTCAACAACAACTCCTCATCGCTCCCCTCATATCACTCAGTAGTGTAAACCCCCCAAACCCTATCATGATACCCCAACTTCCCCACCTCCCCTGTTAATCCACTCCTCCACTCCTCCCCCCTCACAATCCTCTCCAGCGCCCTCTGGAAAGTCCACTCCGGCTTCCACCCCAGTCCCCCATTTCCAGTTTCCTCCATCGCCAACCGCGAATCATAAACCCTATCCACTCTGCCCAACCACTTCCACCCTTTCTGTTCCATCACCGCCCCAATACCAGGACAAAGTCGTTCTGCTATCTCGGCAAACACTTTCTCTGCGCCTGCTCCGTCAGCAGGACTCAAAGTGTTTAACCTCACCCAATCCTCCTGCGGCAGGTCCAAAAAGGGCGAAGGGCTACTAATGATGTACTTCCCAAAGTTGCGGCCTATCCTCTTGTTGCTGGTCCCGCGCGTAGACGTAGTTTGTTGTGCTCTTATAGAGGCCACGCAAGCCGAGACAATGTCGGCTATGTCCACTCTGCGATAAGCTAATTCGCAGAGCTTGAGGTTTTCGTCTCCTAGCATGTTCCTTCTGTCTGCATCGTCTTCGGCCTCGGGGAAGAAGCGGGAGGTTTTGAGGATGATTACGGGTAATGAAGAAGAAGAAGAGATCAAGTAGCACAGATCCTCGGCGCTGGATTTGGTTAGGCCGTAGATGTTCTTGGGCAGGCAGGGCGTTTGTTCGGTTATGTGGACTGCGGGTTTTGGGACGCCTGGAACAAAGAAGGGGAGGGGCGAGAGGGAACGGCCAAAGGTAGAGGTGGTGGAAATGTAGGTGAATGATTTGATGGTTGTTCTTTCACAGTTTGTGTCGTCGGGGTCGCCGGAAGTTGCGGTTGTAGTTGTGGTGGCAGCTGCTGCCTCAAGTAGCGTAAGCGTGTCGGCAATGTTTGTCTGGACAAACTGCGCTTTGGTGTGGGACTCGATGTGCGGCTTGTGCAGCGTTGCGCAGTGGATGATGTGCGAGATGGGCTGGAGATCGGGGTGGTGGGAAGAGGAAATTTCCGGTTGGGCGCGAAGCCAGCTGGGGGAGAAGAGGTTTTGGAGCAGGGAGGCGTCGCCGAAGGACCCGATGAAGGTGGTGGTTGAGCTGGGCTTGATGTCAAGGCCGGTTGGAGTGTACCCGTATGAGGGAAGGGAGAGCATCAGGGCCCGGCCGAGATGGCCGGATGACCCTGTTACCAGAACGGTTTCGGGACGGAGAGGTGGCGTTGACGAGGCCATGATGTTGGGCAGGTTGGGGTGGGAAATGTAAAGCTTGGAGACTTCAGGTGGTGGCCTGTTCACTTGCATGCTCTTTGATGAACCGAAGGCAGGCAATCGCTTCAATCTTTTTGTATCTCTTTCTCAATTCTTCTCAACTCATTATCAAAATGTGGTTGTGTTCTTGAACGTGAGTCACTCCGTCACTTCGGACATCACCGTCTGAGTCACGGCCCGTTTCGCATGGGATAACCGCCTTGATGGAGCGCCAAGGAAGGTATCGGCCACGTCAGACGAAACACCATGAATACTGATGTATTGGAAATTTTGGATAAAAATGACTGGAAGTGGAGGTAGAGGCCAAGGGCGTTGTTATTTGGGAAGGGAAAGCGCATCCAAAGTGATTTTGATGTCTACCTCATATAAAGACATTCCGCGCTTACATCACTCCCAATCCATTTTCACTCCAGCTCTCGGACTTACCAAGTAACAGGCAGCTTAACAATGCCAACATCGCGGTCAAGCGGCGTGTACTCAATCTCGTCAAAAGGTACCGCAATCTTCAGATCCGGCAACTTCTTGAAAATAGTTTCTAATCAACACCCAAGTCAGTCAGCAAGTACTTCCCGTATGGGCACTCACATTGCTTCCACTACCAAACTTCTCCGGAGCCAGTTAAAACTCAAACCCACAAAAACGAAATTGAACTCACCAAAAACAGCCTTCAGCTCCGCCTTGGCCAAAAACTCCGCGATACACCGATGTTCTCCCCACCCAAACCCGAGCTCTTTCACAGGCCACTCGCGATACATGTCGAACTTGTCCGCATCCTTGAACACCTCCTCGTCGCGGTTGGCCGACAAGTTGGAGGCAATAACGCCCTCGCCCTTCTTGATGGTCTTGCCGCGGATCTCCAGGTCCTCCTTGGCAACGCGGCGGATGGCCATGGCCGAAGCGGTGTGGAATCGGCTTAGTTCTTCGACAAAGGCAGGGACTACAGAGGGGTCGCGCTTGAGTTCTTCGAGTTGGGAAGGGTTTAGAAAGAGGGTCACAATGCCCTGGGTGAGTGTCAAGAAGAAGGGGGAGTTAGCGGGCTTGACATGGGATGGAGAGTAGGTGCCTATGGTAGGTATGAAGAGGACTGAAAACGAACCAAGGCAATCATGTTCACCATGGTGGCATTACCAGCCACTAGCAAGAGGAAGGCCATCTGGACGGCATCGGCTGTGTCGAGCTTGCCGGTCTTGACTTGCTCGGCCATGAGCTTGCTGATCAAGTCATCCCTGGGCTCCTGCAGACGCTGTTCGGCGAGACGGCGGAGGTAGTTGAGGAGTTCCCTTGGATGAAGTTAGTTTCTCATGACAACAGTAAGCGCCAGGAGCATGGGGAAACGTACTGATTAGCAGCAGATGCCTCTCGCGCTGTCGAACTTCCGTTCGTACGGATGGAGTTCTGCTGAGTCAAAAACTCGAGGTCCTCAACCGGAACACCGAGGATGGTATATATGATCTACTCGCAAAGTTAACAGTCTCGTTTTTACCACGAAAAGTAGACAAAAACCCCAAAACTTACATAAGAAGGCACCGGCAGCGCAAAATTCTGCACCAGATCCACCGGACCGCCCTCGCACCCCATATTCTTCATCCTCTCTAACAAGTCATCCACCGTCTTCTGGATGTACGGCTCCAGCTCCTTGACATGTTCCATTTCGAAAATCGGCTGAACCATGCCGCGATACTGCATGTGCTTGGGCGGATCCATGTCCACAAACGTGGCCCGATTCTTGGCCGCCTCTTTCCCTCCCGCGGCGAGCTCGGGGAAGCCGGGCCTTGTGCGCTCCTTGGACAGCCGCTCGTCTGTGGCCACCTGGCAGACGTCGTGATACTTGGTCACCAGCCAGGCGAGGCTGCCGTCGAAGAGGCGGACCTGGGTCACCGGGTCGGTCTTGCGGAGCCAGGCGTACTCGGGAGGCGGGTCGAGGCCGGAGGCACGGCGGAAGGGGAACTCGAGGTTTTCGGTGAGCGCACCCATTTTTATGGCTGTTGAGAAGGAAGCCAAGAATATACTGTGATTAGAGGATCAGGTAAGGATTGTTGATGTGAAAAGTCGTCGAGTGCACAAGTTGGGTACAAGCGCGGGTGCAGGACATGAGCTAGAGACCGCTTAGAGAACCTTGGTTAAAACAGATAAGGGGAAAAGACAAGGCTAGAGCAGGTAGATGGGAGCTATTTAACTTGAAATACCGTATGATGTCGGAAAATCCGGAGTTCAGGTCTGCCATTACCTTCAACGACCAAGTACATGCAGCCAAACACAACTGAACGCAACGGGCAAACCAAAAAAACAACCCTGCGTTGCCGGACTGACCTGAAGTCCGGCTTTTCCGAAATCATACGGTAACGTCACTCGAACGTTCGTCTTGTGGGTTGTCAGCTCGTGATCGAGTTTGTAAACGTCACGGAAACGTCAAATAAACCAAAGGCAAGATGTCAGGCCACCCGGCCATGCACTTGCTTGTCTGATGCACGGACCAGGCACAGACCGAACTCCCAGAAAAGGTACACAGGAGAATGATACACAGGGGCGGATACGTGTGTTTCCCGAGCCAGCCAGATTCCTGTCCCAGACTTAGCCGGGATCAACATCAACACCATAGAATACACAGTACATCAGTGCGGACATAAATGACCTGCAACACTTGGGCATATTCGTATCCAAACTTCGTGGTATGGGCCGCAGTTAAGTAGGTAAAGAGGGACGAGCCGCTTCCTTGGATACGAGGAGAATTCTCATACTTTGGGTTTCAGGAGATTTTGTTGGTGTCAACACTCGTCTGCCTCTTTTCCTTTTTGCAGTAGCGCTCAAAGGGGGGAAGAACGGGCCATTTCCAAATATGACAATGTACACCTTATGAAGTGTGAGCTCGGAGAGCGAGATACTGCGGCAGTGATTGCGGTAACTTAGACATGCTGAGAGTAGTGTTCGCTCTTCGCCTTCTCCGCATCATAACCAGTATCGCTTCCATCAGCAGCACCTTGGTTTGCACCACTACCACCTTGCAAGAATCGGGTAAGGCCAATCTCAGCATTGATCTCCTCCATGCGCTCATTATCGGCTTGTGCAGTGCCTTCGGATCCGAAGATAATATCCTGGGAGTGTTGTGTTAGTTGATCAACCCTTCGGAATGAGGAGAGGACCAGCATAGCCGGAACTCCAATGAGAAGGGGCACTTACCATGTCCTCCAAGGTCAATCTCTTCGTTTCCGGCACAAAGAACCAAATAAAGGCGGCGCCCATATAAGTCAACAACCCGAAGATGATATACGTTCCGTACGGGATCGCCTTTAACATATCCGGCGTGACCTGACCGACGATAAAGTTGTTCATCCAGTTGCTCGAAGCTCCTAGAGAGACACCATATGGCCTCGTACTCAACGGCCAGATCTCAGCAACAATGATCCAGGCACATGGACCCCATGAATATCCAAAGTGAATGACGAATAGCCAGACCATGGCTACAGCAGCCCATCCAGCAGCCTTATGAGTCTCCCATTGGTCCACGTTCTTGGCAACAATGACAGCGATGATGATATGGCAGGTAGCCATCCCGAGGGCACCGATAGTAAGCACGGGCTTGCGACCAACACGGTCAATCCACAGCACGGCAGGAACCGTTGCGATGAACATGACAATGCCCACTACACCCGTAGCCAGGAGTGAGGTTGTGTTACCGCTCAGTCCAAGCTGCTTGAAAATTTGCGGGGCGTAGTAGAGAATCGCATTGATGCCGGACCACTGCTGGAAGAACATGGTTACGGTCGCCACGATAACACGTCGGAACATTGCTTTTGTCCGGAAAAGCTTCTCTATGGCGACAAACTGGAGCTTAAAGGTATTCCAGGCTGTCTGCTCGCGCAATTCGGGAAACAACTCGGCAATGCTGCGTTTTTCAAAAAGAGACTGAGCCTTAATCTCGAGGAACTCGAGCTCGACAAGCTCGTGGTCTTGGGATAGACCGCGAAGGGTGGAGAGGATCTTTCGAGCTTCCGCCTCGCGGCCGTGGTGGATGAGCCAGCGTGGGGAGAAGGGCATGAACATCATGCCGAAAAACAGAATGAGAGCGGGGGCGAGTTGCAGGCAGACGGGTACAAGCCAGGCGGCGTCGGATTGGGTCTCGAGCTTGGTGCCGCCGATATAGTTGGTTCCGCTGCGTGATATTTGATATTAGCGACCCATGGTGTGACAAAAGTCGAGCACAAAGAAGACTTACTAGTCAATCCAGAAGCTGACCATGATACCGAAGCAGATAGCCAACTGCTGGAGAGCAACAAGAGCTCCACGGACCTCAGGTGGTGCAACTTCCGAGTTGTAAATGGGAATGATCATGGCTAAGGATCCGACACCCATACCCCTGTTAAGCAATGTCGTGTTAGTAGGGGCTGATAGACGATTCAAGAGTAATCAGCCACGACCTACGTGATAAACCGTCCGGCAAGAATGGTCTCATGTCCTCCCGAGATAGACGTGGCTTGGATGACCACACCCAGCATGAAAACCAAGCACGCCACTAGCACACCGTACTTTCTCGAGAGAACCTCTGCCATGAACCCAGACAGAAGCGTACCAAGCCAAGCACCAAGCTCAAGAATTGCGGTCAGCCAGCCCTTCTTCGTCTGACTCGCGTTGGGATCTATCGGATCGTATTCGCCCATGTCTGTTTGAGGTTCACCAGTTATGTTAGCCACGGTTTCGGGAATATGTGGCTTCAAGGATAGCGACTCACGTTTCTGAAAGGCTGGCATGGCGAGGACACCCGAGAACATTCCTTGGTTGTACCCATAAAGCACACCGCCGATACATGCGAAGCATGCAATAGAAAAGACCCGGAAGTTCTTGACAAGTGCTGCAGGGCCACTCTTCCCCATCACTGCCTCACGCCTCTGAAGAGCGGCATCATAAAAACCAGCTGCGCCGGAGCCGCCTCCACCACCCATCTTGACTAAAAGATTGATGTTACTTTG